AATATAGGTACCAGCTTTCATTGCAATGAGAGGGAGTGCAGCCACTTCACTTAAATAACTAGATAAACCCATGTCAAACAATTTTCATTCACCTTTAACTGGCTTGCTTAAACAAGTGCATGCAACATTTCTCAAAGCTCCTCTGAAGAAAAATCTATGGTGATTTGGAGATGGGCGGGGGTTTTGGAAAAACTGAGAAAGGGTATAAAAATCACACGCTAAAATATTTTAAGCCATTAATGTGGAACAAAAGAGGAAAAAAAAGTCTAACATCTCCAGGGATTATAGTATTATGAAGGAAAAGAAAAACTTTTTAAATGACTGCTAATGACCAATATTAAAGGTACATGTGTTTCTGGTTATGCAACTCTGAATCTGTTAAAACTTCAAATCTAATTAGAAAAACTATTAATTTAATTAAACAGATGGTGCCAATTTTGTGAAAGGCACTTAAAAAAAAGTTTTACAGAAACAGCAATAATTGCACAAATTTATAAATTACTACTTTTCTGTTCGCAATACGCTATTGTTAGGGATTAAAACATATGGGATGGATGCTTGAACCCAGCACAATAACAGCTGAAGAGGAAATCAAACTTCCATAGGTTTAAAAAGGAATTTTCCATTAATTAGTGACAAGTAGGAGCTTTCTGTAGTAGTTCCATAAAATACTCTACATTTCACACCAATTTGTTTTGTTTCAAATTAACAAAGAACTGAGCAGACAAAAGAAAACAAGATTCCCAGACCTAAGCTCTTGCTGGAATAGGAAAAGCTCAGCAGGTCTGACAGCATCTGCGAAGAAAAATCAGAGTTAATGTTTTTGGGGCTGGTGACTGTTCCTCAGACCCGTTCTGCATAAAAACCATCATTTTCTTAACTACGTGTAGAGCTGGATGAACACAGCCGGCCAAGCAGCATCAGAGGAGCAGGAAGGCTGACATTTCGCGCCTAGACCCTTCTTCAGAAAAGGGGGAGGGGAAGAGGGTTCTGAAATAAATAGGAAGAGAGGGGGAGGCGGATAGAAGATGGATAGAGGAGAAGATAGGTGGAGAGGAGACAGACAGGTCAAAGAGGCGGGGATGGAGCCAGTAAAGGTGAGTGTAGGTGGGGAGGTAAGGAGGAGGTAAGTCAGTCCAGGGAGGACGGACAGGTCAAGGGGGTGGGATGAGGTTAGTAGGTAGAAGATGGGGGTGGGGCTTGAGGTGAGAGGTGGGGATAGGTGGTAGGAAGGACAGGCTAGGGAGGCAGGGACGAGCTGGGCTGGTTTTGGGATGCAGTAGGGGGAGGGGAGATTTTGAAGCTTGTGAAGTCCACATTGATACCATTGGGCTGCAGGGTTCCCAAGCAGAATATGAGTTGCTGTTCCTGCAACCTTCGGCTAGCATCGTTGTGGCACTGCAGGAGGCCCAGGATGGACATGTCGTCTGCGGAATGGGAGGGGGAGTTGAAATGGTTCGCAACTGGGAGGTGCAATTGTTTAGTGCGAACCGAGCATAGGTGTTTTGCAAAGCGGTCCCCAAGCCTCCATTTGGTTTCCCCGATGTAGAGGAGGCCACAACGGGAACAGCGGATGCAGTATACCACATTAGCAGATGTGCAGGTGTTTTTTGGGATGCGGTAGGCGGAGGCTTGGGGACCGCTTTGCAGAACACTACGCTCGGTTCGCACTAAACAACTGCACCTCCCAGTCGCGAACCATTTCAACTCCCCCTCCTATTCCGCAGACGACATGTCCATCCTGGGCCTCCTGCAGTGCCACAACGATGCTACCCGAAGGTTGTAGGAACAGCAACTCATATTCCGCTTGGGAACCCTGCAGCCCAATGGTATCAATGTGGACTTCACAAGCTTCAAAATCTCCCCTCCCCCTACCGCATCCCAAAACCAGTCCAGCTCGTCCCCGCCTCCCTAGCCTGTCCTTCCTCCCACCTATCCCCTCCTCCCACCTCAAGCCACACCTCCATCTCCTACCGACCAACCTCATCCCGCCCCCTTGACCTGTCCGTCCTCCCTGGACTGACTTATCTCCTCCCTACCTCCCCACCTACACTCACCTTTAGTGGTTCCATCCCCGCCTCTTTGACCTGTCTGTCTCCTCTCCACCTATCTTCTCCTCTATCCATCTTCTATCCGCCTTCTATCCGCCTCCCCCTCGCTCCCTATTTATTTCAGAACCCCTTTCCGTTCCCCCATTTCTGAAGAAGGGTCTAGGCCTGAAATGTCAGCCTCCCTGCTCCTCCGATGCTGCTTGGCCTGCTGTGTTCATCCAACTGTACACCTTGTTATCTCAGATTCTCCAGCATCTGCAGTTCCTACTATCTCTGAAACAATTTTCTTAACTACCATCAGTTCTGAAGAACCCAAAACGTTAGTTCCGATTTCTCTCCACAGATGCTGCCAGACCAGCTGTGATTTTACAGCAATTTCTGATTTTATTTCAAATTCCCAGTATCCACAGGTCTTTCAGTCTTTTTTGTCCTGTAAAGTAGAAAATCGTCAGTAAGCTGCAAGACAGATTGGTAGCTAAACTTCCAGGAGGTTAGTTTTTGTTCAAACTTTAAGTCGGAATCAGCTGGGGAGAGTCCTCCCCTGCATTTTCAAGATATTAGCATTAATTACCTGGACTGTTTCATTGTCTTGCTAATGATTTGATGGCTTTTTGACAGAACACTGTCTGCAAATGGCTTCTTAAAGTTTGCTTTTAAATTTCAATAAGTATGGTTATTTCATCATGAGACTCCACCAGTTCAAAGTTATTTTCCAAAACCAGTGTGCTTAGCTTCATTATACATCTTATGCCAGGACATTCACATGCTGAGAGTTTGAGACAATCAGGGTCATGGTACCTTAATGACTCATTCAATGTGGAATTAACACTTGATTAACAAAAACCGAAAGAACTGCAGATGCTGTAAATCAGACAAAAATAGAAATTTCTCCAGAACAGTTCTGAGACGTTACCCAAAAGGTTAACTCTGATTTCTCTCCACAGAGGCTGCCAGATGTGCTGAGCTTTTCCAGCAATTTCTATTTTTGACACTTAATTTACACCTGTATGGATTGTTCCAGGTCTTCCATTTGGAACCAAGGGAGTGGTTCAATACACAATTTATCTGGTGATGAATAGATCATAGATCATAGAATCCCTACAATGAGGAAACAGGTCCTTCGGCCCAACAAGTCCACACCAACCCTCAGAGCATCCCACCCAGACCCATCCGCCTAATCTACACATCCCTGAACACTATGGTCAATTTAGCATGGCCAATCTACCGAGCCTGCACATCTTTGGACTGTGGGAGGAAACCGGAGCACCTGGAGGAAACCCACGCAGCCATTTGGAGAATGTGCAAACTCCACACAGACAGTCACCCGAGGGTGGATACGAACCTGGCTCCCTGGCGCTGTGAGGCAGCATGCTAACCACTGAGCCACTGTGCTGCCCCATAGCAGCCATATTCTTTGAAGTCTTCTGTAGTCAGTTTTTAGAATATAAATATTAGCTACAAGTTCAAAATGGACTGCGGCATGACACCCCTCTTAAAGTACGTTCATAGGATGGTGGCAGAGCTATGGAATACGTAATTTGCTTACTTCAGTCTTTTCCATAAGGCAACTATTCTATAGAAGCATCTTTAGTTTTAACTCTGTAACAAAGATTTCTTCAGACATTCATGCAAGATTTTCTATTTCCCACACAAAAACTGCAAATCAAAACATTCAGGTCAATATTTGATCATAAGCAAGTCTGTATTGTGCACCTCTAGCCACAAGGGACTGTGTTTATTTCAAGTCGTGAAAGCTTACAAAAATCACTTAGAGCATCACTGCTCAATGGGTAGCATTCTTGTTAGTGTTGGAAAATTATGGGTTCAAGTTCCATATTCTAGAACTTGGAGCAGAAATATTATGGCTGACACTCCAGTGCATTATTCAGTGAATGCTGTACTTTTGAAGCCCTCATCTTTCAGTTGAGATGTCAAACCATGGTCTTGTCAGCTTCAAGTGGATGTAAAATGTCAATGGCACTATTTTGAAGAAAAGCAGTTGAGTTATGCCTATATCCTACCCATCACCTACCTCTCAATCAACATCACAAAAATGTATGATCACTCTGTTGCTTTTGGAACCTTTCTGCACACAAACTGATTGTTACACTTGTGACAGTTCTTCACACTATTTTTGAACTATAGTCTACAGAGAGATGCTTTGGAGCATTTTGCCAAGTTTGTGTTATGGCATAGCACTTAAATCAATCACAGAATTCACAACAAAGCCAAAATGTAAACCAAGGTGATCTCAAGTTTGAATCCATTATGTGCAAAATGAGTCTGCCTGAGACAAAGTGGTGGCAATGAAATAAAACAAAGTGCCAGTCAAACTGAGCATGATTGACAGCTTCTGTGGAGTAAAAAACAGATAGCATTTTGAGTCTAATAGGACTTATTTGTTAGAGTTTCCAGTCACACTCTGCTTCTCTCTCCACAGATG